GGACAATTACCAATTGCTACCCCAGAAGGCGAAGGAACCCTGTACTTCCACATTCACAAAACCTAACATCAATTTCTAGATATCTATCATCAACCTAGAGCGCCTGTTCACAATTTGATCTCCAAGCAGTACAAGAAAATCTTCTATCTTCCGGTCACTTGCAATTAGCTGTGCTACCTGAAGCCTTTTTTCATTGGTGTCAAATTTGCCACCTCTTCCCTCTGGACCAGGTTTACCTTTTTCTCTTGTCTTTTTGGTTTTGGTTATTGACAAGCCTGTGTAATTGTTTTTTCCACCCATTGTTTACTTCATGCAATTCGTGCACAAATTTTGTGATTTAAATTGCTTATTGTACTTTTAAACTGATTGGATAGTTGTATCTGAAATTACATAATCTGATTTCAGGATGTTTGGATGTGCAAAACTGATAGATATACCTTTATAGGCTAAGCTTATTCACCATTTATGACAAATGAACTCTATTCATAATACTCCATTTTTCAATTATAGCAATATTTAATATAAATAAAAAGAAATTGGTGACCATAGGTTGAAGTACATAAACCCCAAAATGATTATATATGAGATATGAGAAGATGATTAAGGATAATACATTTCCCATGAACTTGCGGAGGTTACGGGAATTGTTGGCAAAAAGTGTACATGAGAATGATTGGCTGTCACGTACACACCAAACATGGCAATTTCTAGAATATCTTTGGAAGTGCCTAGAGATGACTTCGTATCTTTCCTATTACCAACAAATACCAATAACAGCAGCAACAGAATCAAGCACTGTGTTTGAAATCAATCAATAAATAAAGAGGAAAATTTATCTGAATCAGTCACCATAACCAAACATAAACAGAGATATGAAATATTTCATTTTCACCTGAGCGAACCAGGATATATGCAAAGTTATCTTATTGAGTTGATAATGTGATTGGAGCATCACCTTATATTTTTTTTACTTGAATGTTGCTGCAAAATAAATCATTGATTACTAGTCTGCTGTTTTTGAAAAGTTCTTAAACTTGATGTCGGCCTGTTTAGTTCCTAAAAGAGGAAGGTAGGGGGAGGGGGAAACCGAGTTGTTATATTTTGTGAATGTATAGTTGCTGGTTTATTATATTTATGTTTAAATGTGTAACTTGCAAAGTTCGCACATGAACTAGCTGCCAATTTTGACATTTTGGTTTGACTCCGTTTTTGGCGGGTCAATTTGCTGGTAAATATAAGGCTGTGCATGTAATTGCCTTATTGATATCAACACATGGTAAGCCTTCTTTCTTAAAAGTTATTTGCCTCTGATATATTCTGATGTTCCTTTGTCACCTCTTTTTTAATTATCTTGTCATTCTCTCTCAATCGGTTGTTGTTCTTCCTCTGTTGCTTGGCTCATTTCTTAACAGGTATTTCCAATCTTGTTAAATTTGGCATGCAGGCAGATTCCATATATTTAATGATCGCAACTGTGTTTAATGGAGGTTGTTGTCCTTGTTGCTCTGATCACGTTCAGAGTTATTGGGTTCCTTTCCTACACTTCAGATTCCAAAACTGTGCTTAATTGAAACTTTGAACTGTATAAATTTCTTGTGTTTATGTTAACATCATGGCTAACAATAGCAACTCCTCCTCCAAAACCCAACCCCCTTATGCTCCTAGTCCTAACCATCAAAATTTCTTACAAAACAATGGTGTGGGCATGACACCCCAGCCCCAGTTTTGTTCTGGCAACCACCATAGCCAAAGCTTGTTGCCCCCTTTTATGCAGCACCATTTATGAATGCTGCAAATCAGAATCATTTTCCCTTGCAAAATAATCAGATGCATCTGCCTCAAATGGGTATGCCTAGTCATCAACAGGGTCAACCCCTTGTGGGAGGTTTAGGTCCCCAAAATAGTGGTGGCAATCCCAATTACAGCAATTCAATGTATCCTGTTCAGGGACAAGTCATGCAGAATGCAGCTCAACTCAATTTGTCTCAATTACGGAGACAAATGTTGGAACAGAGTATTTTGAATATCCTTCAGCCGTCTCGTATGAATATTAGTATGTGATAGGATACTGGGTGATAGGATAGAAGGGAGACGAACGGTAGGAGGCAAGGGGAAGCAAGCAGAACGGTGGAAGGCGGGGAGAGGTCAAGCCGAACGGTGGAAGGCATGAAAAGGTCAGGCCGAACGGTGGAAGGCATGAAAAGGTCAGGCCGAACGGTAGAAGGCGGTGAAGAGCTGGAGCCGAACAGTAAGGTGCAGGGGATGCAAAGCCGAACGGGAGCTGGACCCGATCGGTTGAAGAGTGACTATCCTAACTGGGACAACAATTAGGATAGGTGTGAAGTATTTAGAAATAATTATAGGAAATAAGAAAAAATCTACGAAAATATTTTATTTAGAACAATATTCATATTTTATTCTAGGGAAATATTTTATTTAGAACAATATTCATATTTTATTCTAGGGAAAGATTTTATTCTAGGGAAATATTTTGTTTAGGAAATAATTAGTATAAATAAGGCTAGAGGCTATTGTTATGGTCATGCTTTTGATTTCAGAGTCTTGTTAAGGAGGTTATGCTCCAGAATAACTGACGGAGGTTAGGCTCCCAATTATTGTTTGTTCTATTTGATTCAGTTATTCTTATCAATAAAAGAGGTTTATTCATCCATTTTCTGTTGCTCATTGTCTGTGAGAGTGTGTGAGGGATTGTTCTGGTTACGTTTCCTACTCGGATACGTAACAATTGGTCCGATCTGTCGGATCGAAGGAGAGGAGTGTGTGGCCAGCCGGAGTGACAGAGAGGAGTGAGAGACATCATGGAGGGAAGGATGAGTGCAGTCGAAATCAAACTGGAGCACATGGGGTTGAATCAGGAGAGCATGCAACTGTCCATAGGAGGAGTGGAGACGAAGGTGGAGACAATCTGCAAATATTTACAAGAGCTGATGACAATAGGAGGACGAACCCATCAACTAGATGGGAAGTCAAAAGGAAGTCAGGGATCTGTTAATGGAAAAATGAATGAAGAGGAGGGCGAAAAAGATGGAGGACCGAACGGTGATGGACGCCAGGAGGAACGTCTGAATTGGAGAAGAAGGGTAGAGTTACCCATTTTCGAAGGGAGTGATCCGCTGAATTGGATCAATAGAGCAGATAAATTCTTTGAGTTATAGGGGGTGTCTTAGGAAGAAAAATTGCGTTTAGCCTACATCAGTATGGAAGGTAGTGCCAGATTCTAGTGCAGATTCTGGAGGGAGCAAACATATAACCGAACGTGGACAGGATTGAAGGAGGCAATGGTGGTACAGTTCGGTGGGAGAAATCAGGGACCAGTCTTCGAAAGATTGGAAGCTATTAAGCAATCGGGCTTAGTGGAAGAATACATCCAAGACTTCGAAATCTTGGTGGGTCAGACAAAAGGAGTGGCCAAAGAACAGTTGATGGGGTACTTCATGGCAGGATTACAGGATAGAATTTGGAATCAAGTACGACAGCTTGATTCGCAAGAGTTGATGATCGCCATGAGAATTGCAAGGGATGCCGAGGAGGCCCAGGGCAGGACAAAGGATGAGAATTGAAGCGTGACCAAGAACCCCTCACCTTTGGAACGAACGAACGGTGAGGAGACACAGCCAGGAGTAAATCGTTATAACCCAGGCCGATTGGTAATCGCCGAGCGGTCCGAAGCCAATCACTATAACCCAGGCCGATCGAGAGTCGCCGAGAGTGTGGGGTCTGTACGTTAGGAGGGTAGTGATAATAGTGGGAGAAACACCAGGAATATGCCTTATTTAGAAGCCATAAAACGGAAAGAAGAGGGAAGGTGTATCAGGTGTGGGGGACCGTTCGGTCCTTGTCACCACTGCCCGGACAGGAGTTTCAAAGTCCTGATATTGGCGGAGGACGAGGAGGAATTTCCACCACCCAAACCTCCAGACCTGAATTGAAGAAGAACCATGAGATCAAGCTCCCCGGTTCCAACCTTGAGGAGAAGGTTGTTTTGCAGCGGGGTGTAATGATAGGATATTGGGTGATAGGATAGAAGGGAGTCGAACGGTAGGAGGCAAGGGGGCGCCGAACGCTAAGAGGCAAGGGGAAGCAAGCCGAACGGTGGAAGGCATGGAAAGGTCAAGCCCAACGATAGAAGGAGGTGAAGAGCTGGAGCCGAACGGTAGGGTGCAGGGGAAGCAAAGCCGAACGGGAGCAGGACCCGATCGGCTGAAGTGTGACTATCCTAAGTGGGATAAGTGGGACAACAGTTAGGATAAGCGGGAAATATTTAGAAATAATTATAGTAAATAAGAATATATCTTAAGGAAATATTTTATTTAGAACAATATTCATATTTTATTCTAGGAAAATATTTTATTTATAACAATATTCATATTTTATTCTAGGGAAATATTTTATTCTAGGAAAATATTTTATTTAGGAAATAATTAGTATAAATAAGGCTAGAGGCTATTGTTAGGGTCATGCTTTTGGTTTGAGAGTCTTGTGAAGGAGGTTATGCTCCAGAATAATTGACGGAAGTTATGCTCCCAATTATTGTTTATTCTATTTGATTCAGTTATTCTTATCAATAAAAGAGGTTTATTCATCCATTTTCTATTGCCCATTGTCTGTGAGAGTGTGTGAGGGATTGTTCTGGTTACGTTTCCTACTCAGATACGTAACAGTATGCCAAACGGCCAATTTTGTGCCCCTTATCCTGTGCAGAATACCTACACAAATGCCAAGCCCTGGTTCCTGCCCCATGTTTGGGTTTCCAAACCAATGGCCTCAAGCTATGGTCCCTCAATAAGTCCACAATTAGGTTTTGAGCCTGGAAGGCAGGTCCGACTGCAGATTGACCTGAACGAGAAAAACCTTGCACCACCAAACGTGAATGCAAGTGCTTTGGTATCATGGTTACCTCCATCTTGTTCAAGGTAGTCATGGTAACCTTGGCCACGAACCACATTTCAACAAAGGCAAACCATGACATATACATTTTCCCATTTAGTTTCCAAGCGGTAATGGAAGGAATTCCAGAGGAAATAGTAGGTCCAGTAGACATTTCAATCACAGTTTGAGGAAACTAACAGGAACAAAGAGCTAGCCAATAAGAAAACCTTAGCAAACCCATTAACCAAGTCAGAGAACAAAAGGACGACCAGGGACTAAAATGACACTGAGGAGGTCTGGCGTGCCCTAACCAGGAGTCGCAACGTTGCTCTGGTGAAAGGAAGGTGGCATGCGGACACACCCAACAGTAGGGAGGAGAAAGTGCATGTTCGGAGGCGCATGGAGTAGAGATAGGCTTAGGGACTGATGGGGTTGGCCATTGCTTGGAGAGACACTCTAGTTCCAATGGTTGCTGAAGAAAATTTTGGCGGTAGACAACAACAATAGATGACAATGAAAAAGGCACCCAAGAAGACTGAGACCAATACAGCGATATTGACTCGCTCTAATACTAACTTAAGATTAATAAGAGAGAAAATATATTTTAGAGGGCTTAAAAGACCCCTCTTATATCTCATACTTATACTAGAAACCTAGGTACAACTTATAGGTACAATAGATAGTAGTTCCAAACACAACTACTTTCTACCCAAATTTAATACTTATTCTAACACCCACAACCACAGATAACCCGATAAATTGAGTGGACAAAGACAAGAAAAATACTTGTGTCCTTAGGTTATTTAGGTTTGGGTTTTCTAGGCCCAAAAATGGTTGATGGCTAACCCTGATAGTCATAGTGGGAAAAGGAATGGGCAGGAAAAACAGAACAGTGCCAAACTGACAAAACTCATGCGTAGCTGCAAACTGTTGCTCCAAAAAGATGGGTGTTGGTGAGAAAGAATGTGCTCAAGTTAGTGGGAAAATTAAGCTTTCATTTAAAGTTGAAATCTCCAATTCAATGGAAGAGAGGTGAATGCCATCAGCACCCCTGAAAAGCCATAGGTGACACTTACACAAGGCTCAATTAAGGTTCTTTCAATGCCTTAGCACCACCCATAAAATGCCCCAATTTCACCATTTATCACAACCACTATTTAAAATTGTGATGATATTTAAGTTTCATAATGACCAAGAGCGTATCTGCTACACTATCCCACTATATCATTCTATTGATAACTATGTTTTCAAAAACCACAGAATTGTTTTTGAAAATGTGGATATAAACACACGTACATATGGGGAGGGGTCAAAAAGAATGACAAAACAAGACAAATAGATATAAAAAATGACTCCATTTTATTTATTTTGACGTCTCTGTGTAACTAGATATTACAGAGAACCCATAAAATTTTATTCCAAGATATTGAAAATTGCATTAATATGTTAGTATGAACTAAATGCCAAACTGAAATGAGAAATATATTTTCAAAATTTCAGAAGTTAAACTTATACACACACACACACACAGCAGTAAAAAAGAACCTTGAAGTTCACAATTTCCCCAAACTTCAAGAATTCTGTGTGGACATCCTCATCAAATTCTTCAAAGCAGCGATCAATCTCTTCATCTGTATACTGGAAAAGGGGTTAAAGAGGTCAAAAAACATATTATGCATTAAAATATGATATTACATAAGGTCCTTTATACAAGAAACAAAGGGGTGTCATTTTCTGGCCCTAATTACAGAAAATATACAACTATTCTAAAATATATTAATTGATAACTTTCTTTTATACACTAAATTTATTGTCAATTCTATTGCTGAGATAGTAATTCATTTCTCATAAAGGTGGATGCATGCATTGGATTATTAACTATATAATATGCAGTAGTTGGTAGGAAAAACTATCCTTTGAATTACGAGTAATGTCAACATATATAATATAACTAACACTTACACTATTTACTTCTATGGGTGTTCCTGAAATAATATTTTAGTTTGTAGCATTGTTAATAAAATTAACTAACTTTACTATTTTCCTCAAATTCAAATCAGTTATTTGTTTCTCATATAAAGGAATAGAGGTAGTAATAATACATATAAAGCATTAAAACAACCAAATACACACATGCCATTTAATACATTTTTGTATGATACAAGCATAAATTTAATAAACCTGACCATTGAATCACGGGATATTATCTTTATGATCATGCATACACAAACTATGGAACATTCATAAGTATGCAATATTATTATAGAAAAGCACTTACATTTTCAAAATATATTTGTGTTAACATGAAGTAGCATAATGAAGGCTCAACTACATCTATTTGAAGAATACATCCAATCTGATGTTTGCATAGATGGAATTCAATGTACGAGGAGTTATCAAACACTGTAAATATGACAAAACTTATTCTTGGAACTAAACACATGTTTGGATGAACTCATTTTGAGGCAAAAAGTAGTTTAACTCAAGGGTTCTTAAGAGTATGTTTAGGGAAAAAAGGATCAATTATTTACTAAACGATCATTATTTACCAAACATATTGTAATAGGAACAAATACACATAGCATATGTGTGTGTGCCTTGTGCCTAGAAGACGAAGTACTAAAAGTGCTAGTTTGTTTTTTTCAGAACCTAAAATAGTCTTTATATGTTATCAAAAGTTTTCGATAAAAGTAAAACCCTTCTAATTAATTTCTATGGATTATAAAAAAGAATGTGAAGAGAAATAGTGAAATAGATGTCAGTTTCAGCTTTCTCTAGAGTGCATAAGGAGTGAAAAATATACTACAAATTTTGGTTCATGGCGTATGGGAAGTTGTATGATATTGGAAATCAAAAAGAAGAAATAACATACAAAAACCCGAAGAAAGTGCACCCTCAACTTTATACAGAAGGTTGGCAGGTAGGACACAAAAGAGAAACCAAAAGAAAATCCTCTGCCACAACAGCTGCATTGACAGAAACTGCCTACGAAATCCTAACACTCTACTCCAACCCAATGCAAACGTTGGAAATCTGAATAAAATATTTGCTTCATTCTTTAGACCCTAAACCCTAAAAGTTCATAACCTGAGAAGAAAGGTTTAGCAAGGGCTCGAGTGCACTGGGATCAAACTTGCGGGCAAAGAGGTAACAAATGGAAGTCATCTCGGAATTATATCGACAGAGGGAACCGTTGTTCCTTAAAGCCTGAATAAAATCGGCAGTTATATTAGCTCTCCCAAAGCTTGCAGGATGAGGACCCAGCATTGACCAGTCAACCCATGTGATGGTACGGTTGGAATTAAGAGGACCATGAAACATGTTCAAGAAGGTTGGAATGTAATGCTCATCTGGGTAGCAGGCAGGCTTACAGTATTTTCGGAAGAGGGAAAAATATTGGGTGTCAGAGATTATATACACAGCAAGAAGACGATTGAGTTCAAACCACTGAGAGCCTTTACGCCAGTGTCGAAGTTGAATATGAGGAAGCATACTACGACTGTAACGACCGCAGCCATAGCGGGTGGGATCATCGTAGGATTCAACAAAACTGTGGGCGGAGTCTGTGAGATATCGGTAGACAGTGGGGAAGTTGTAGATTGGGATGCAGCTCTCGGAAAGGAGAACAAACCGCTCATTGGAGAAGTCCAACAGAGCATTTGCCAAAAGCCGTCTCTCAGCATCTGCCAGCGTCACTGTGCCCCACGAAACATCCTGATCACACCAATATCATGTCTGAGCACATCACGGAACCAAACAAAAAGGAAAAAAAAAAAACGAGAGTATTTGTGATTTACCTGGCTGGGGATTTGGCGCCCGTAGAAAGGGGAAGACTCGGAGACGTTGAGATGGAATCGCGGAGGCGCGTGGACGTAGATGCTGAAGAGAGGAGCGTGGCCGTTGAAGAATCTCTCCCAGAGGGGCAACATGGGAAGGGGACCCCTGGTCAGAAACATGAAAGCCACCTTCGGGATTCTGCGGAAAGGGTACCCTTCTTTCTTCGGCATCAAGGAAGCCCTCCAGAACAGCTCATCGTCCGACAGAGTATGAGTGAGGTTGGGCGGATGAAGGAACTCCCCCATGTCGAGAGGCGGAGGAGGAGGAGGAGGGGAAGAAGGCGGTGGTGGTGGTGGTGGTGGTGGTGGTGAGGCTGCGGTGGAAGAACAGTTGGAAATAGGGATATAATTGTTAGGGTGATGAGGGTTGCGGTAGGGCTGAGATATGAAATTGGTGTTGTGGATGTGAGAGCTAGTGGTGAGACCCATGACGACTCCCCCCGCAAAGACGACGAGGTATGTGAGGATTTGGGCCAATTTGAGGAGCCCCGCGTGCTTGTCTCCCTCCTCCCTCTCCCTCTGATTCCGACCCATCCTTTCCTTTCCCTTCCCTTCTGATCCACCGATCCTGAACACCACGCCGCCGTGACCACTTTCACTCGCTCACTTGTATCACTCGGATGAATTCATACACACATGTATCGATCATCACCCTCCCACCGCTTCAAATGCCAATCGATTCCCTCTGTTTCTCGACCCAATCGCAATCACTCTCTGATATCGATGATGCGATCAACGTCTCTTTCTCTCTTTCTCTTTCTCACTCACCCTTTTCTCTCCTTCCCATCTGCCACCTCACTATTCCTCACCTAAACTAAACTAATTTCAAATTCAATTCCATTTTTATCTCTTATATTATTCATCTCTCTTCATATTTGTTTAAATTTAAAAACTCTTTTGTGTAAAATGATATAAAATCGAAACTTAAAAACTATAATATTTTATCTTTACCACAATACGGTGATAAAAAAGACAACTTAATTGAAAGTAAACAATTTGGATAGATTGAAAAACAAAATATTTCGCATAATTCATATGTTCACAAATCATCTACTAACAATATTAGAAAACAAGTATACTAGTAATTTGCATTTATACTCAGTTAACACCTCTTCCCTTTTAAGGTTTTTTTATCATTTCATGAATTGATATTACGTGTATTCCTCTATTTATTTAATTGACACGTGTCCATTACCAGGCTTTTGTTTCATTTGACTCATTGGTTTGGCCTTTTACACTTTGCGCCCAACATTCTCTGACGCAACTACTGTGCATGATGGCGATTTTCGATTTCTTGACTCTCGGTCTCTCTCTCTCCATTCATTAGCGTTGCTGGGTTTCTTGTTCTTCGTGGTGGTGGCTTTTCTCTCCTTCCTGTCCTGCAATTTTTCGATATGGAGTTTTCCCACATTTCCGTTACTTACAATATTGATGTATTTTATTTTTGTTGAATGTTGATGTAAAATGGCGTTTTTTTTATGTTACCCAGTTTCGCAGCTTCCGAGCTTACTAGGTAATATGAAGTCTTCTTAGCTTCCCCTTACTTCCCAGTTTTCCAAATTTGTTCCAAGTGTTAATTTCCAGTTCTGTCTCAGATCCCTGTTTTTTTTTTTTTTAGTTTTGGTAGTTATGTTCGTTACTTCTTGCGCCAATGGTTCCAGTTTTGGGTTTGAACGGTAATTTCTTGTTTCTGATGCTTAATTATGGTTCTAATAACTGTTTCGTGATTGTTTACACGTTATATTCATGCTTCTATGATAAATTCCATTTTTAATTCTCATTTTCCACTTTCTACATTCTAGTTAGGTTTTACAGTTGGTTAATTTTAGGAACTTAATTATGCACTTACCCTTTCTATTAATTCTCAGTTTAAATGTTCAATTAGCATTGGTTTACACTTTTTTTGCATGTTAATATCATCATTCCATTCATAGCAAGACATAGAAATACATTTTGCATCATAGAGCACACTAGATCCTTTGCTGTCAAAACTATGTTACTCTGGTTCTAGAGTATCGGCTGCCAAATTGGGTTTAAAGTGTGAATTTGTGCATTTTGATGTTGTTTAATAGTTTTGCATGCATCTCATGCTTAGTTTTAGGGATTCAAAATTGTCTCATTCATTTACATTGTGTATAATAGAATAGAATTCTGCATTAGCTGTCAAAAGCCCTTTTACTATGATGCTGAATTTGAAAAGTTTTATGCTTTAGTATATAAAGGAATTGGTTACAATTTCCCCTTCTGATTGATTAGTCAACTCAATTTCATGAAATTACTGCAACAGAATTTTTAGATGAATTTTTGTAAGGGGTTCTTGTCATTTAAGCCATGTATTCCACAGAGCTTAATGCTAAGTGGGAAGCATAGTGTTGGATCACATTTTACTCTTTCAATTACCAATTATGTAAGTATCGACTTGAACTTTTGTTTTCAACATTTTAAGTAAATTATTTGCATGTTTTAATATGTGTTGCTCATAATTTTTAAAGATTAAACAGATTAGCAATTGCTTCCCATTTGTAACTAATAGGTATTTTACACACAAGCAAACTATCATCAAATCACTTATAGTATCTCTCACATAAACTCTATATTATGTGGTGCACTTGTTGAAACTAAACTATAAAAAAGAAAACAATCTATTATTTTATTTTACTCCCACAGAGCTTGTTTTATCTCATATAGAGCATTCTTCTTTCATGAGGTACATGTTTGAAGCAAAGAGAATCAATACATGTAGATGACTTACTACAAGTTTTCTTCCTTACCATGCTTCCTTTGGAGTGACATCATGTAGACTCTTAGTTGGACAACAATTCAAAATATAGGAAGTAATATGTTGAATGATACCCTAAAAACATAATTGGCTCTTCCTTGCCATCCCACTTTTTTTTTTTCATTAGGTGCATGTATAAAGCAAAGAGAATCAAATACCTGTTAGATGACATACTACAAGTTTTCTTCTTGAGCATTCTTCCTTTAGAGTCACATAATGTATGTTTCTAATTGGACTTATATTATATAGACAACAATAGATACAACTTCTCCCCAGAACTGTTTTGACATGTTTTTTTCTTTAAGCATACACTTTTTTCATGTTCATCAATATTTTATTCCTTCTTTTACCTTTTCCACTGTGTTAAGGAGCAAGTTCTTGAATTATACCATTCTTATTATAATAGGAATGGAAATCATTTGAGTTGTATTCATCACCCCATTTGTTCTAAAAAATTTAATAAAATTTTGTTGAGTACATTCTCGATTACAATTAGAACACTTGATCTTTCTTGATTTATGATTAAGTTTAAATAAACTTTTTTTAATTGGACTTTGTTACATTAAAATTTATTGAGCATTAACTAAAATTGTTGATTAAAATCAACTTTTAAAGGCTTGGTAGACATCAGGCGTACTAGATAGATAAGTATAATTAAAGAGCCTATGCTATTGAACTTCACTAGATAATTTGATAAATTTTCCATGAGCTGAGTTTTGATGTTATGATGCATAGACATTTCCTTATTGCTATAGCTTGTGCTTTGTGCATCTAAAGTATATAAGTAAGATAAAAGGTGTTTATAGAAATGATAGATCATCTAATGTATCTATGGATGGATGATGATAGCAAGTTGATTTTTAAATTTTTTGACGACCAAGAGAAACAAAGATAATAAGCTTAATGAAGAAATATTTTTTTTTTAAGATTGAAAACATTGCTAGAATCGTCTAATGAGTGTATGGTCAAAATAGTCTATTTAGTTTATGACTAAAATTGTCTAATGTGTATTGGCAAAATCGTTTGATGAATGTATGACTAGTGTAACACCCGCTTTTTAGAGAGTTACAAAAATATTCACTTACATTTAAGGACACAATATTTATTTTTATTTCGTAATAATACATCACAGTCAACAGTAATAACTATAATATAGACCGAATCTTAAAAAAAAATTGTTTAAAATTATAAACCAAATTATTTCACAACATAAAATTACATATTTGAAAATACCATAGAGTTTTTTCTAATGTATCCTCACTCTAAACTTCTCCTGCATCACCTGAAACATCATCTACTCCCGTATAACAACACGAGTTATACTATCATCGTAGTCATACAAGTAGGGTGAGCTAACCAAATACAGAGAAGAAATAAGCTACAATAAATGAACACGAGTCTCCCTTCGTTTTCCATCCCTCACACTTAGATATTAGATTTATTGATTTTTGTCCTTCACACACAGCTACTAGACACTGATCCTTCACACGTAGCTATTGGACCTATATCGGTTCTATCATACTCATACATTGGATAAATATATATATCAAAACTAGTCCCTCATATGGACTACGGATAAGAGTCGTCCTCCACGCGCAGCTTTGGACATATCTCCCATGTTCTTCAAGGTCTTATGAGTAAAAACATTCGTTCAACAAGCATCATACTCAGCACGAGTCATTAAAACTATGGCGAGATATATATATTCCCTCAAAAGAGGAAAATGATAGGACTCGAATCCACCTATCGCCTTACACAGGAAAAAGGAATTATCCTTTTAACTACCAAGATAAAACATAAATCTTCCCGATTATACATGATAAAACTAAAGAATCATCAAAGACTATTCTATCAAATCCTAACAAGACCCTCAACGTCAACGTATAAACTAATAATATACCAACTACAGTTTTTAAGATTTCTCTATCCTACTATAAAAAAATAACCTTAATATAAATGTTCTGGGGAACTAAGAAGTTGAATGTGGCATAGCCGGTTCGACATCTTCTTATCCTTCCAGAAAATACAAGAGAAAAAGAAAAACAATAAACGTTTTGGGGAATCAAGAAGTTGAATCTGGTATAGCCGGTTATACATCTTCTTATCCTTCCAGAAAAATGCAAGAGAAAAAGAAACACAACAAAAGTTATGGGGAAACAAGAAGTTGAATCAGGCAAAGCCGGTTAGAAATCTTCTTATCCTTCCAGAAAGATGTAACAAAAGCATAATATCATTCTACATTCATAAAGAGAATCAAAATTCTAAACATATTTAAGATTTCATATCATACAAAAAACAAAAGACTCCCTTATCTCTTTTCCAGAATTTTTTTTTCTCTTGCTCAGAAGTTGTTTATCCAAAAATCTTCCAGAATCTTTACCCTCTTTGCAACCAAAACTTCCTAATTCTCTCTCTCCTTAACTTATTTCTCATTCTTGGTGCAAAATTTCCCTTCTCCCCCTGGGCTATTTATAGCCAAAAATATTTTTACTATTATTTTTACTATTCAAAAAATAATTAATCAAAACTTATCTGATCATCCTTGGCACCAACGTGGAATGTTTATCCAAAGTTTTTTTTTACTATTCAATTTTTGCTATTCATTTTTACTATTTATTTTTTACTATTCATTGTTTTACAAAATCTTCTAAAATATGTTCTCAAAATTTTGAACCCCTCCTTCTAAATATTCTATAATTCTCTATCATCAAATTTTAATTTTTCTTACTATTTTTGTTTATCTGGAAAAATATACTATTATAACAAGCTTCTTTCTATGCATTGAACCACTACAAAATTTTCTCCAAATATTCATACCATGTTCATATGCATAATTTTATATCCAACATAATAAAATACATTCATCACATAAATCATACAATTGAATATATTATGAAATAATTTAATCGTACATAATCTGTCTCATAAGAATTTGGTTAAAAATTTATTTGTAGACTATCAGGAAAGAGAGGTACGTCACAACAGACAACTTAAGTACTAAGTCTTTCCTAACCAACGTGTTTCTCAACTAGTTTTTTAA